AATTACACAGAATCAACATCTTAGGTAGTCTAGTCTCTAGTGCCAGCGGTTCCTGTAGGGATAATAGTTGGTAATTCTGGGAAAGGCAAGAGAATGGTACGATCTGCCGTGACAGATTTTTAACTTTTCCTTCCTTACAAAGTATCATTGATCTGCAGTAGTGAAATACGACTGAAGCCTTGAAATTTTGTTCACAAAAATAATGCTCAAGGAAACAGAAGAAAAAGGAGCAAAAGATATGTGCGTTTTATTACAAGACCTGGAAGTAAGCCAAAGGCATTTCACTTTGTGAAAATAGTAGGGTTTTCCGTAGATAATCTAGATAGCATGTAAATAACTAATGTGTGGGAACTGGGACAAAAGACTGGTTATAGGGGACCGTAGAGCACGTAGGCACCACTTGAGTCATGTATGTTGAATAACCTGTCACTTCAGCTGAGTTCCCTCGGAAAGAATGTACCTGGGAGCAGCACAGGGAGGATTTGATCTCAGTATAAATTATGGCTGGAGGTTCAAAAAATGGGGTGAAAAGGCATAGTCCAGGCTATCAGTGAAATATGTAGAAGAAAAATAGTAATGATGATAATGAAAATATAGCAAGCAGGTTGCTTCTGAGGAAAAAAAAAAAAAAGCCTCAAATCATTGTATCTGAAGAAAAATACAAGACAGTGTCTTCAGTGCGGAACTCTTCAGCGGGTAACTGCAATGGTCGTCTGTGTACCAGACGGTCTTCTCCTAGTTCAGTAGGAGTTTCAGTTCTCTTCTTGTCTGTTCGCTTCTGCACCACCACCCCCTGTTCCTGGAGACAATATTACACCTTGAGGGACAGCTGGAAAGATCTGTGTCAGAAGTGTTTGTGAAGACAGTGTTGGTAGTGTCACGTTTGTATTAATTGATGGGGTAGAAGAGTTAAAGTTTATACATCTTTTAATGACATTTTCTTCTGAAACATCAGTTTAAATAAGGAACACTTTTAAATGTCCCTCCCAAAAGGACGTTTTTCATTCCTGCCTTTTGCGACTTTTTTTTTTTCCTTTCTTTTTTTAAAACAAACTTTTCTCCCCTCTGAGTCCCTTTGGTTGGTTGATGACTTTAGAGCAGGGTATTTCCTCCTTTTCTCTTTAAGTGTGAGTGTAAGGGGAAGGGACATGTTAAGACAGACACTTGAAGTGAAATAGAGTATTTTCTCTTTGGACAAAGGAGCTGAATGAAACCATGTGAGAAGTCCTGTGACATTCACATAATACACCAATAACTCTTTGCCGTCAACATAGGATTGTAACAATCATGGAAAAAAAACAGGGAATTTGTGAAGGAGAGTAGTTTCCATGGTACCTAGGTACACTATTTTCACTGACCGTGGTTGTGTGAGCTGCGGTCTGGTTTCTGTAAACGTGAGTCTCGAGGGTGGGCTCCTGTCAGGTTCCCCCATGCCTTGAGCTCAGGCCACAGCCTGTGCCCACTTGTACGCAGATGGCTTCTGGAATCACAAAAGGTTGAGGAGCTCCATGTCTGGGGACTTCAGTCCCGTGTAAGACTGAGTGGTTGGAAATTCTTGTGTTTAAAGTTATGGGAAAAGGAGTAGGTCAGAGTGATGCAGTGCAGCTGTGTAATGGCAAAAAAAAAAAAAATGAAAAAAGTGAATTTAATCTTTTTTTAACACATCTTGAACCCTTGGGGAGATTTGAGGGTTTTAGCAGCTGATCAGAGAAAGGGAAGAGTGGAGGAGAGTTTGCCAACATTGGTCACAACAGTTACAGAATTTCAGTCCGCTCTAGTCTGGCCCTCTGCAAACACGGAGGATACGCACGAGGTTATGAACGTTATAGCTGATAGAAGGCGAGAGTGGCGTTGCTGCCTAGAAGGTAAAATCCCTCAGTTTTAGGATAATTTTTATCTGGTTCGGGCCTACCCAGAGTGGCAGTTGCCATGTATCTGAGCAGAATTTTGAGAGCACCTAAATGCTGAAGGTTGGTTTTTGGTTTTTGGTTTTGGGGGTTTTTTTTGGGTTGTTTTTTTTTTTTGGGGGGGGGGGGGGGGGTTTGGGTTTGTGCCGTGGTTTGTTTTTTTTTTTTTTGGAAGCACAGGATGATTGATTGGTAATAGAGAGGCTTCTGGGGACAGTGTTCCCGCTGCTATACGCAAGCTGTGTTTGCGAGAGCGTTTGAACTTGTCTACACTCCCTTTAAATAACGCTCACAGCCTGTGGTTATGCAGCGGATTAACAGTAACAGCTGTGGGCTAACGGGATTAAAACTGTCTTAGCATATGAGAACATCAGTGATAAAATGCATCTGGTATGAAGTCTCCAAAGGCTTATAGGGTTGTATGTAAATAGTAAATATGTTTCTGTGGTGCTTATCGCCTATTCTGCTTGTGACTGGTGGGCTGTTTTCAGAATTTTTGTTTCTGGGTGCCATGAGGTTAGTGATATTTTCAGAGAGGCAGTTATGCGAAGAAGTTGTGCGGGATCTACATAGCCTTAAAACATTTGTATGGTGTGTTTCGTTGGCAAGGTTTTATAATAGTGGAGAGTTTCATGCTTTGCAGAGTGAAAAGCAAACTAGTTACACTCTGTGCTAGCGCAGCTCTGTTTCATGACAGATTAATTTGTCTCACCTTTTTTCCTGCAGGGATTTGGTAGGGTAAAATGTAGTTCAAACTAGATTAGAAGTTCAAATATATTTTAAAACATTTACTCCAGGCTGTAGTGTTTAGTTCAGGCTATCGAAATCCTGCCTGTGAAGGAAGGCACTGCTAAGATACAGTCAGCCACAAACTGAAAATCACGTAGTGCCTTCAAGGGATAAGTGACAAATGGATAAATAATTTTAAAACACATGAGGCAAAGATACCTTAATAGATCTGTCTAGTACGTAATAAGGTGATAAAAAAATGAACAATTACTTCTGTTTCATAGATTAAGACAACTCATACTAAATGATTTTGGTATTTGTGACCAAGCATGCACAGAAGTTATCAAGGCTTTATATTTTCTCATATGATTATACGAGCTCTTGGGCTCATAGAAGGTCTGTTACAAGTTAAGAGCATATTCTTCTACGTCATCTTCAAATCTGGTTCTTCCAAAATAAGTTTGAAGCTTTTCGTTTGTAATGCCATCGTACAGATGCCAACCAGAACTATGCAGAGTCTTTCAGTGTTACGCACTCCTTTTATATTTGTACAAGCTTGTTCCATCTAGATAGTGGAATGGAAGAGGGAAGCCTCAAAATCACCTGTGGTGATACAGAACATTTTAAGACTTGCTATGGAGTCACGTAAATACATTCAGTTGCACTGTTTTTATGAATTACATTGAATGAATTGTTCTAAGGTACTACCAAATTGAAACTTGTTTATATTGTTTTTCCATTCATAGCTATTCTTTATAGATTTAAAAATAGGGAAACATAAAAAAGTTGTTCTGTAGGCATGCATCGTGTCTTCTGCAACATGTATAGCTTACAAGTTTAACTTCTAATATATTCACTGTTTTTGAAATATTAAATGCCTCTTGTAAACCAAATAATTGGCATACTGTTGGCTGATGACTAGCTAGGAGAATGTACGTGACTAAAATATTCCCTTTAATTGCGTTTTTGCATCTTATTTTTCCTCTTAAAATTTACAGTTGACATCTTTTCAACTAATACCTCTTTTGTGTTAGTTTATAGATTGTGTAATTTATATTCTGTATACTCATGACAACATTTCCGAGGTGCTCTTCTTAAACACAACCCTCCCCAAATTTAAAAAAAGGCAAACCAACTTTGATCTTCCTCTGTACTTTTAGAGGATTTGCTTTTCCAGTGTGTGCACAGGCAGGTCTTCTCCCTTGAAGTTAACTTGTATTTGCCATTTATCTCCTCTTAAGATTGGGTTTAGTCATCTCAGTTCAGCATCATCATTTCCAGAAAAGCCAATCATACTGCATGCTTAGAGGTGAAGCTTTGAGAAACAATTTCATGCTTGCATGCAATGTGTCCTAGTATAAAAAAGGAAGGAAAAAGGGAAATTAAAGGAGTGCACAAAGTTGGCTTTAAGTTTATTGAAAAGGTTGCTGTGTGTGTTTCTGGTGGGTGCTGACAGCTCCATTCTGGAGTCAGTTGTTGAGGTGCCCATCGGTCCATAGAGAGCACAGCACACCTCACAGGGCTGTAACGTGGGCTGGGGCTGAGACCTGGCTTGTGTTTGCCCTGCACTCTGCTAGTTCAAATGCAGTCATGATTTAAACAGTGATATAATTTGTGATATAATTAAATGGTGATGTAACAGTGGTACTGTTTCTGCTGTACACTGGCCAAGCGATTGGTGTAAGAGGTTAATTCTGGTTTACTATGCAGTGCGGCATTTTACCCTAGGGGTAGGGAACATCTTATGTAAAGCAGTTGACTGAAAAGGTTTTAAGCAAAGCAAAAAGAAGGACTTCGCAGGAAAGCCATGCTGACTATCTTACATAATGATGTTTTCTTCTTAAGTTCTTTCTGCTCCCCTTGATTTAAAAATCTCTTTAACCTATGTCAAAAGTCAGCTCTGGCAAAGAGAGAGGAGCTGAGCAGAAGTCCAAGTAAAATGAAGGTGGGAGTTTTGTTTGTTTTCATTTTGCTTTCTGTATACTTGTTCCTGCTTATACTTCTGGCCCTAGGAGCAAATGACAACAGAAGCCTCCCTCAACCCCCACAAAATTGATAGAGTTTTGAAACCATACTGCTACAAAATTTGCTTATTATTGCCAATTGAGCACAGACCCTTTGAGGTATGCTTAAGTGAAAGTTACATGGCAACTGCAGTTTAATAGCTCATATCCTGATGAGATTCCAGTTCTAGTGGTAAACTAAACTAGTTGCAGTCTGGCTGCGCTGGGGAAAAGCCCACAGCTAGTGTAGATCCAGGATAGTCAAATAGCATTGTTACTGTATTCTTCAGTATAAGTCTTAAGATCTATGTTTTTTTAATCTCTATTCCATAGCTTTTCAAATAACATCCGTGTATTACAGGCAAAAGCAGCAAATTAACAATTTACATCAGAAGATAAGGGAGAATGAATTACGAGCTCAACATGCAAGACTGAGCCATCTTGTGAACTGCGAAGAACCTTACATGACTAATTTGCAGGTAGGATGGATATTTTTCTTTCAGCAGAGCTTTCCATTGCGGAGTAACTGACACCTGAAAGCATGTTCACAATTTACTGCAGGCCAAAATGTGGAGCTTTTATGATTATTGATGGTTGTATAATTGTATACCCGTAAATTCTACAGAGGAGAATACCCTCTAAGTGTTGTAGTTTACCTTACGTTTGCAGAAATCTAAGTTACGTTAACATTTTGTACGTACTTGTTTTGAAATCTGATAAAAATGGGGTAAGAATGAGAGATTGTGACACTGTAAGAATGAGGGTTTAACAATGTGCATGTAGCACCGTCATGCAGGGAGATATTAGGAGATAAAGTAGTTTGATAAGAGAGTATCTGAAAACAACTGATGGAAGGTTTGCTGAAGAGAAGGAGGTACTACCCAAAGGAGTGGTTAGATTGTATCGACAGAATAGATGGAAGAGATGTGAGAAGGCAAGCAGACTGAATCATAGAATCATTAAGGTTGGAAAGGACCTCTGAGATCATTGAGTCCAACCGTTAACCTAACTGCCAGGTCCACCTTTAAACCATGTCCCTAAGCACCACATCCACATGTTTTTTGAATACTTCCAGGGACTGTGATTGTACCACTTCCCTGGGCAGTCTGTTCCAATGCCCAACCACTCTTT